TGTGTGTGTGTGTGTGTGTGTGTGTGTGTGTGTGTGTGTGTGTGTGTCCAGCAGGTAGAGAGAGACGCTGATGAGAAGCTGTATGCGTGTGAGAGCGTGAGGTCATTTTAATCAGTGCAAATCCAGGGGTGTTAGTTAGAGACCCACGTAAAGGTCAGCAATAATGTGGCTGCCTAAAAATACCACAGCATGGACCGCGAATGGAATAGTGTGTTTGTGAATGCAACCTGTCATCTGTACGGATTTTCAAATGACACTTTTTCATCTTTTTTCAAAACAACAAATAAATGCATATAACTTTGTGTACAATACAACATAGGCTAATGTTTTGTAGGCTTTGAGCCTGTCCTTTCTGGCATTCTCCACTCTTATTCTATATCGCACACAGACAGACAGACAGACAGACAGACAGACAGACAGACAGACAGACACACAAAGCCCAGCTGTTTGTCCTTCAGTTATGTCATATCTAGATTTGGAGCGACACTCGGATCCTCATTACATGTGACCCTGTCTTTGACCCTGTATAGATTTTACAATGACAACGCCATAACAAATTGCTTTACAGGGGAGCAGGTGACGGCGGCGATAACGCTTGCCATCCGGCCCTCCCTCTCCCTCTGTCTCCAGCTGTGGTCTTAAAGAGGCTCAGTGTGGGGGGACCGAGCTCCTATTCTAGGCCCATCTCAGGGCCTGGGCTAATTTTGGACGGAGAAGAGGGGACGACAGGGAGAAAAGGAAAAAAAGAGAACGAGAGGATAAGAAAGTGATTGGACCACCACATGCCACGGCACAGATGAGCGCTCGGGTGACAGCGATCATGTTCTTTGTTGTGGGACTCGTGCAGTGACGCCAGTCATCACTGCTGGCTTGACGGGCTGTATTTTGTGCAACAGGTCCGAATTGAGACGGTTGTAAATTTGTGGTTTAGCTCTTGACAGGTCACGCGCTCCCTCCTTGACCTCGGTTTTGTCGTCTCATTCACACAACATGACACTGCAGCCATGACACCGTGTGTCTTTATTGTACATCTGTGCACCACAGTCGTAAAGTACAGCGCTTACCAGACCTGCCCAGGAGGGACATGTGGCGGCTATAGCAATCCTTTTGAAGTTCAAGTTCATTTATTTATGCATGTAGTGACTTATCGCAAGCACATCTCACAAAACCTTAGTGGAATTTTTTTTTTTTAAAGATCTTTTTTATCTTTGGCGGATCTTTTTTAAAGGATCCGCCAACTTCATGAGGTTGGGTACTGAAAAAGAAATAGAATCCACTGTTCTGTGATTTATTACAAAGGGGAAAAAAAGTTGAAAACAATTTAATTACTACCCCTCTTGTGATGTGGAATCCTAACATGAGGAAAGCCAAGATCCTTTTGGGGTCATGACCCATAGCTTGAATAAACTTTTTTTTTTTAGAAGGCATCATTTTTTATCCGTCATGCAGCCCTAAGCCTGCATCAGAACTTGAATATCAATGCGTACAAATGCATTTCTGGTGATATGTGAGATAGCCACGTTTTGACTACTCGTACAAAACCAAAAAGGAAACCAGAATGTGTGCTGTGCAAGCTATCATTGACCATTAGGGTTCTTCACAACAATCAAAGAAGGTATTCAAATAAAGACTATTATGCCTTCTGCTCAGTGTTGTGGATCGTGTCCCAGCAGAGGACAACAGTAGAGTGGAGTGAGCAGCCATGCTGGCAGTGACGGCGGCGAGGACGTGGCCCCTCACAGCTCATCAACCTGAGCCTGTGTTTATGGAGGTTGAGAAAGATGGGGCTTTGGTGGAGAACCAGGCGTGCCTGTGCTGGATCCGGGGATGCGGCCCTGCTGTAGTCCCACACTGGAATGTTAATTAGGTGAACTGAGCAGAGGAGAGGTGACCCGTCCCGTTAACCAGCCAACCCTTCCCCAACAACCGGGAGGGGGATTTAGTTTTTGACGGAAAGCCCAGTCAGCATGTGCTCTGCATATATATATATATATATATATATATATATATATACACACACACACAGAGATATTTGTCGAGTATTGTCCGTGCACTTACACAATTCTGACCTCTTCACCACCACGGCCCAGTTTCTCTCATAAGTTGCATCACTTCACCAACATACCAATAGAGTTATAGTTGAAGCAACACGGGGCGGAAACTAACAAACAGTCCACTTAAGGGTGGCAGTCCACTTAAGGGTTTCATAACTGATCTTCGCAACCAAACGGGAGCAAAAGTTCAGTTTCTTCTTTTCATCATCCAAATAGCCATAGAGCACATACACACAATACATATTAATGTTCTATAGTAGAATAAAGCCACCAATACAGCAGTGACTCCATATTTTGTCTTGTATGCCGTGTCTGTAATCGTCAGAGCATCTCCACTGAAATTTGATTTGCCAATTTATAAAAAAAACTGTTGCTACTATATTTAAAAAGATAATAATAAGTATGGTATGTCTATTCTACATGAAACTAACATACCTGTAATGTTCAGACATTTAGATTCACAAACACATCCACGCTGCATTTTTACAGCTATCTTTCATGCTGCTAACAGATCAAGTGCATGTTGATACAATCTATTAAATATTATTAATTATAAAAACACGGTTTATTGTATATATGAAAGACACTGTCGATGTCAAATATCCAAGGAGTAATAATTCATGGGTTCCCAGCCCACTGATCTGTACTGCTACTTATCAAATACTGACCTCTAGAGGACTCTCTTTGGCTGTACAGTAGTACAACTCCAACCTACATATCCCTACTGAAGAATATTACGTTAGTGGAATTTTCAACATGAAGACATAACCAGATCGGTGTCACATAAATGTTCAATCAAATATATTTATTCATTTGTAAGAAATAAATTTTCTGTATTAGTTACACTGTTCTTTCTTGGCCCAAACTCTTAAGAAGTAATTTTATCATTATCAATTGAACATATATATATTTACACTCACCGGCCACTTTATTAGGCACACCTGTTCAATTGCTTGTTAACACAAATAGCTAATCAGCCAATCACATGGCAGCACGCGCCACGGCCTACCTTGCTGACCATGTGAGGCCGGTGAGTGTATGTATATGATATATTTTATTAGGCAGGCCAAAATGTATTACTATTTATAGTTACCAATAACATTTACTCATGCTTGGAAATGTCTAGATATAAGTGTAAAATGCAATACCGATAAAGCTATTTTCATGTATTCCACAAAGTTTAGTCAATTTATCAATTGCAACCATTCTGATAATCGCTTTATTGTTCTACTCATTTTTCAATCATACATGCCAAACCAATTCCCTTTTTATATCCGATAGAAAATAATGGAACAATGCTAAATGTTTTCATTTCTGAGTTGACCGACATTTTAAAGACCAAACAATACATCAGTTCATCAAGGAAATTATTGGCAGATTAATTGATAAAAAAAGAAAAGTCGAGTTGCACCTCAACACTAAAGTGTTCCAAGTCGCAGACTGTGAGCAGCATTAATACCTACAAGCACCGCCTACTGCCAACATATAAGTCCTACGAGAGAGCAAATAAAGAAATAAATATGTGACAATCTTTGGGATTCATTTATTATATTTTTCACTTTCCAGCATTTACAGAAATATAAAGGATGTGAAAAAGTAGAAATAACCAACACAGCAGTGTTATGTGTTATGATACAGTATTAATCAATCATGGTTGACTATAAAATAATTGAGTGTTTTATAATGATTTCCTATAAATGACAAAAGCATGACATTCATCAGAATCACTGCTCTGAAACTAAATATTACACAATGGTGCCTGCATGTAATCTGAGCCTTTAAGATGATCATAACTGCACATTAAAGTAATGCATGATCAAAGCTCAGCACACTTATTAGAATATGTTGTTAAACTATTATACATTAATAACTAAGGAACATTATTAAAATAAACTATACATTTTTATAAAAAAAGACAACTACGTACATGAGCTATCTATACATCGTAACACACTAGGTGTTACATTTGGTCTGAAGATTAAAGGATATGTTTTAATAAAAAGCAACGTACAAGGGATCAAATAATACCTTTTCAGATGATGAACTGATTTGTATTCTTTGGAAATATGACGCCATAAAAAAATATTTACTGTAATTTGAAATACAAACTACCATGTGGAACTCTTCATTAGTACCGGCCCTTTAACCACTAGCTAAAATAGTGCCTCAGCGCATATATAAAAAAATAAAGAATAAATACAATTGTAACAGTGTTTGAAGGGACCTCTGTTCAAAAAGATATAAATCCTGTCATGTACAAAACAATATCTCGACAATCAGTTAATTAGAAGAAACCACCATGTCCAGTTCTTTGACTGCCTCTTGGCTGGAGGTGAGGCCACAGCTGCCTGAGAGGGGGCTGTCGGAGTAGTGGCTGGCAGACCTGGGCACTGTGGCCGGGGAGGGAGGGGCCTGTGCCAGACCGGGCTTCTTCGGGGGGATGGGTGGAGGGTTGCCCCTGTCTGCCCTGCCGATGGTGGGGGATCGGATCCCCAGCGGAAGTGCTCCGGCCGCCCTCCCAATGACCGGAGACAGGGGCGCTGCCAGGCTGCGGTAGTCTGTGCCGAAGGGCGAATTGTTTGGCGCCGCGAGCTTCGGTGCGGCACTCTGCTGCGCCGTGGTGAAGCGAGACAGGACTTGAGTGACTGTGCTCCGGGCCATCTGCTTGACCGGGCTGGCCTCGAGGGAGGCGCTGCTGGTCACGGGGGAGACGTCCTTCGGCAAGAGGGGAGGAGCGGGCAGTGGGGCCGGGGCCTGAGGCTCCGGGTCAGTGGTACCCTGGAACTTGTGACGGGCAGCGTGGAAACGCTGGTTGATGCCGGCCTGGTAGGGAGACTGGTAGCTGCCGGGGCTGGGGCTGCCTGGTGGCTGTTTGGCAAGGACGGGGGAGGAGCAGGGGGAGGATGATGTCTGGGTCTGATGAATTTGAGAATCTTCATTCCCGTTCTGCACACAGATGTTATCCGAGAGGCCGTTGTTCGGACCGTGGTGCCCGTCGGTCTCCATCAGACAGTGCTGATCGATGACTTTTGGCTGAGCAGGTTGCTCGTTTCTGTCCTCCTCAATGTCCTCGACTGTCATAATGATTACCGCTGTGTTTCCTGGAGGAACTTTATTGGCCCACTCGTGTCCCTCTGCCTCTACTGGAGCTGTAACATCTCTCATCATATTCCCCTCCTCCAGCGTCCTCTTCAGCTCTTCTACCTGGTCCAAAAATGGAGAAAGAGATTAATTTCAAGCAGAAATTTGGCTGCAAATGCAAGCTCATTTTCTTCTCGCACTAAGATTAGGTGAAGTAGTTCCAGTAAGATGTGCAATCTACTGGCACCTGCGTGATGAATGTGTTCAAGCGTTCACACCTGTTGTTGCAGCTGACAGCAGTGAGCCTCCTCCTTCCTCAAGCGCGAGCGGAGCTGCTCTCGCTCGGTGTCGAACTCGGCCAGCTGCTCCTCCACCCTCGCCTCCATTCTCAGGGCTCTCCTCCTCTCGTCCTCCAACTCCTCTCTCAGGGCCTGACAAGCCTCCTTCTCCTGCGAGAGGGAAAAGTCTGTTCAAACCGGAGCGCAAAACATATCCAGGCCCAACATTTTTTTAACGAGAAAAAGGAAAATAAATTGCCCAGCTTGGATTCAAAATGCAAATACCTTGTCAAGTTTACGGCTCAGCTCGGTCAGCCGGTGGCCCTCCTCCAGAGCCCTGGAACTTGCCCACTTGCACTCTTTGGCCAAAGCGCAGGAGAGCTGTTTGTGCTGAGCGCGTTCTTCTTCTAGCTGGTCGGTAATCCGCCGCTGCTCTTTTTCCAGCCGCCGGACTTGGCTGCGCTCAAAGTCCAGCTACAAAGACAGAGACGAGACACACAATAATCAAACTCAGCATACAAACTTCAACGTTTTTGACACCTGATTTTCAAATTCCACCAGTCACTAATAGACTTTTAGACAAATGTTTACAGGGCAGTCTACGTCACTATTCATTAGAGGGCACCTGTTGTTGTAAGCGCTCCCTCTCCTTCTCCAGGATGTAAGTGACATCGTCTCCCTCGGCTGTGTCCTCAGCATGCCTCCTCTTCTCCTCCTCCAGATCTGCGATGACCTGAAGTGAACACAGCGGGGCGACAGAGAGTCAGGAGGGAAGTTATCCCACATGAGTTTGGTATTTTGAAGCAATGTGATTACCACACTCTAAGCCAAAAAATGTAATTCAGCTCATCTAAATGAGTACCATGTTCAGCCTGCCTGCAGAGGTATAGTGCTCACTCTGCGAGCACTACACATCAAGCCTAAGATGACTGAGTGTCTTTTGTTTGTACAGTTCCTAAAGATGCAGTGGGAATAATTATTTGCAACAGTAATTTAAAATACTAAAACAATAAAAGGTCTAAATTACTCTTTTGATATTAGACATTTTACTACATTTCAAAATGTGAGGTTTACCTTCTGCCTCATATTCTTCTCTGTAAAACAAATGTTTTTGTGGTCTGTGTATTCTAATACTCACATATTATTATCTCAATTACTTATTAATAATCCATTGTATTGTAGCCGTCAGCAAGCACAGCAAAGTTTTACAGTTATTGACAATGGATGGATGGCTGAAATTATAGGAATTTTGTGCAAACACAAGTTAGGCGTATTGTCCTTGTATATGTTTAACTCATAATGAAATCAGGAGACAGTATCATGTTGTGTATTAGTCTATTCGTGTATGACCTGAAACAAAAGAAAAAGTGGAAACGTGACATCAGAGTGCAGGTGTTTTGTTTCTTTGTTCATGTCTGTTACCCTACTTCACTTAGTGAGTGTGTGTGTGAGAGTGTGTGTGAGAGTGTGTGTGCTGAATGCTGTTCTTAGCAGCGCCCAGCAGCTCTATAGCTCGCTCTGTCGGTTGGCCCACAAAAGAAAACAAATAAACAATGAAGAGGGATGATCTAATCACATTAGTGTTGTGTACCAGCAGTTTGTGTGTACTTTTAGAGAATACATTTTTTTAACAGTATTTTCCACCACTGAGGCCATTTTTTTATCTTGTATGTTACCCTATTATTATTTTCTAAACGAACCAGCTCATTTCTGCTTCCCCGAATTAAGAACCACACCTCCACACCCACCCTTACCCTTCTGTGCCTGCTTTCCGCTGCAGCCAGCTGGGCCAACATCTTCTCCTGCATCCGCCTGCAGTGGCTCACCACCAGTTTGAGAACCACCAGCGGGTTGGAGGTCGGGGAGGAGCAGCCCGGGTCCTTGTTCTGGTCCCCGACAGCCTCGCTGTCTCTCTGCAAGGCCAGGAAGGGGTCACTGAGGTTGTACCTGCTGTAGCGCTCCTGGATAAACAGCTCTTTACGCTGGGCCTGAGGAGAGGAAGAGAGGAGTGAGAGGGAGCTCGATGGATGAACTAGTTAGTAAAGTATGTGTGTGGTTTGAAGGTTATGTGGTAGCAAGTGGAATTGCTTGGCTTGTTTATGCTTTTGCATGAATGTCCTTGTTTACGAAAGGATTACATTTTCTTCTCATCACATTTTTAGCCATGTTAGTGGACGAATGACCGTGTCGGTCGGTCTCAACAACTATTGGAGGCAATGCCATGAAATTTGGGACAGACATTCATATTTCTCTGATGATTAATCCTCATTTCTTTGGTGATCTCCTGACTTCCTCCAGCGCCACCAGCAGGTCAAAGTTTGCACTCATCCAGTGACAAAATCTCATCTTTGGAACGCACGCACATTCATGTACTCCTCAGGATGAATTTTGTAATTCGTGTCAAGTGCCTGAAACTAAAAATTTCTATACAATGAAAAAACTGACATCAACACCCCTATTATGATATGATTCGGGAGTTATAATCCCAGACAGTTATGGTTTAACACATGCTGCTATTATTTCTCTCCTAAATGCTGCATTCTGCACAGCATGATCAGCATCTCCAATACTAGAGTGGAAATGATCTGTAGATAAAGGAAGGGGAAGAGAGGAAATGCAGAAACGTGCAGTATAAAGCGTGCCAGCGGGAGGGAGGAGCAACAGATGGTGAGTGTCTGTCTATCTTTAGCGGGACAGCTGCTCTGGACTGGGCCTCGGCCAAGGCAGACCTGTTCTCTGTTTAACTCGTGACAAAGGAGAGATAATAGCAGCAAGTCATTTCAGGTTCAGCAGATGCCTTAAGGCCTGCCGTGAAAAGGGGCTGAAGGGAGAGGGGGGGGGGGGGGGGGGGGCTACAGCAGAACTGGCAATGTGTCTTCGTGAGGTTTCAACAAAAGAGGATCAAACGATTAGAGAGAACAGGATCCTCTCTGGCAGGGTGAGGACAGAGCTCCTGGCGACTGATACCACGATTAATTGAGAAGTGAAAAGTGTAGTCGAGAGCGTGGTCTGCAGAGCAATATTCAGCCCATTCAAAGTTCTTGCAGAGCATTGAACAGCTGACTGTGTGTGGTTACAGCCTAGCACAAAGGTACACCATAACAAATCACATAATCCCTCCAAAACGGCACCTTTTCTCATCCAACACAAATACCTCAGCTAACAGTAGCAGCCCATAATACAGAGTACTGATCCAATACCAGTACTTTCTTTTTACCAAATTTGTAAAAAAGGTACGGTAAAAATATGTAAACCTTACTGTGTGGACCTTTTTTATTTAATTTAAGTTAGCATGAGGGATTGCCGAAGCATAAAAGTCTGCAACACACTGTGACACCTGTAAGCGATACAGGAAATGAATTTTATAAAAGACATTGACCAAGAAACTGGATGTAATGAGTCGTATCATGGCTGACTCCTGGTCTGCTTAATAAGGTGTTTTATCAGATCCATGCATCCCTAATGTACGCATCATTTTGCCTGACTGCGTATAATTGTCGCAGTATATAAAGACATTCAGACATGACATTTTACATTCAAACACAGACTTATGTCAAGCTACAGGAGTTATTTAGCCGGCATGAAAACTACAGGGAGTGATGATTGACGGCTATATTCCACCGCCGATCACAGGCTTTGTGATTGTCATCTTCCAACAATATTAGCTCATCCGGCACAAAGAGAGGAGGGCAAGGCTGCCGTTATTTGATCCAGTCCGCTGAGGACCGTGTGAAGACGGATCAAACAACATGGAGGAGGGAGATGGCGAAAACACACGATGCCCGAGAGAATTCAAAAATGCCTCTCAAACATGGGCGCTGTCTAAAGCCCGATGACCCCACAGGACCGTGTAGACTATGTTATGAAAAAAACTCTTCATTTGTAGGCCATTGTTCATACAAGAGGAAACATTTTGAAAGACACAAAGAACACACCTTTTACTAGATTTTTAAGATAGTCCATTGTTTTCCTAACTGGATAATTGACCTTTTTAAGTGCAATTTCTTTTTTTCCCACTTCACAGGACCTCTATTACACAAACGTGCTCATAAACACAGACTGTGTGTCTCTTCCCAGTCCTTCAATGCACAGAGAGACTCCCACAACACAAAGAGAGGCTGTTTTCCTCCCCATCAACCCTCCACCGCTGCGGAGAGGGTGGAGGAAGTGAAAAGACGTATTACAGGAAACACATTTCTAACATCACTTTAATACTTAACACCCAAATCTACCAGAGCTTAGTCATTACATCATGCTGTACATGAGCAATACCCATACACGCTCAGTGCGTGGCTGCTATGCATCACAGTCCTACCTCCATTATTCATGCTTTAGTCTGTTTGCTACACTTCTTGGCAACTTGTGTGCTTTTGCTGGGGAAGTGCCATGGCCGCACTGTTCCCCTCCGGCTTATCTTTTGCCGACACACGCCTGGACTCTTTCAGGTGTGCAATGCCGGTGACAAGATCTGTATAACACGGAGGGAAGGTGATATATGAACGTCTTACCCTAGAGTCCGATATATCTCAGAGCAGCTGAGGCAGCTTGCTAAATACCCTGAAATGCTCATGCATGTAAATGGAAAGGAAAAGTCTGAAGAGTGCTACACATCATGAGCACACGGTTGATGATGCTACACTAACTGACACTGAATCAAATCAGCTGATGCAGCTCGAAGCTGTTTTTCCCCTATTTCAGTGCTGAACACACGCGGTAAACCGGTTTTAAGCACGTCCATTTGGAAGCTCTAGTCCACCACACCATGTGACCCCCGGCATTTAATTAAAGGGCTCATTTCCATATTTGAGTCCCCGTTGAACTTAAAGTAAAGACTTTTATTCCCTTTCAGAAAGAAAAAGGGGACAACTGGATCAATGCAGAGCTTTGTGGGCCAAACACGAGCATTGCCAGAGACGAACTTCCTTCTGAAAGCCGCAGCGTGAGCAGCTGCTGGAGTGAGTCACAAAGGGAAAAATGCAGCAGATAGTTAAGAATGCCACTGATAGTTCTGCATAATTACATATAGAGGACCAGAGAAAAACCGCATCATTAACCTCACATCCTGTACTTACACTACACCCTGTAGAAAATCACTGATACAACTGTTGGATGTTTAAAACACAGAGAATGGACTCGACACATGAAAACTTGCCCGTTCCTGTGGGAGTTGAATGGTGGTGTTATGACCGTGGTGATTTGTGTTTGAGCTACACATTTCTCACATGACACTCGGTGTAGTGGTGACGCATCAGTTAAGACTGACATGACCAACATGACTGGACCTACTTCTCTTATTACCGTAGCTTCATCTTATTGTTGGAACTAAGTAAATCTTGGACACAACCGTTCTTTTAGCAAAAAGCTAACATCCGTTTAGCCGGTTTAATGCACACCAGTTTGGTGTCAGTGCCATTAGTTTAGCAGGTATTTTAGTAATAGTATAGTTACAATTTGGACTTGATCAGGCGCTAAATAAAAAGTGAAGTGATCACCAAAAATGACTGCAATTCCGAGGGTGTCGGAATCAAATGTTGTGGCAATCCATCCATTCACTTAAAACCACAACTGTTAACCTCATGGGGGTGCCAGAGATAAAGTTAGGGGATCACCAAAGTCATTGGGATTCATCCTCTGGGGACCATGACTAACAGTACGAAATGTTGTGCCAATCCATCGAGAGACTGCTGGAATTCTTCACTGGAGAAGGGAACAATTTGACCTGCTGGTGGCGCTAGATGAAAAGTCACGGGGTCACCATTTCATTCTCTGGGGACCATGAACGTGCAAAAGTTAATGGCAATCCATCCCATAACTGTTGAGATGTTTCAGTCTGTGCCACAGTGATGGACCGACAGACAAACACTGCCGTCCATTGAGCCATGCTGCTTAAATAAACAAAGAATTATGGGGTGATGTTTTACTGGTAACCATCTGCTGTCATGTGAGGACGAGACCCAAGATTACATATCGCCAACTCCTCAACTGCAGAACAGCAGAAAGGTATGAGGCTGTGCTGCAGAGAAGAGATCAGTTTCCACTTTCTCCCTGCAATTAACTTCCTACAGTTCAGTGATTATAACAGTTAACACTGCAGCATTGATCAAGTCCCACACCTGAATGGGTTAACGGTTTAGTGCCGTTGGGAGCCATGAAAGAAGCACAGCCATATTCCCCTCCAGCTCCGGTTAAGGCCAATGTTTATTTGTTCACTCCTACTCTCGCTCACATTGAGTCATCGGGCACCCGGCGTGCTGGAAGTCCTCTTCGCCTTAGATGGCCAGATCCCAGGAGAGATGTAGGAATGTGGTCTAGACACAACACATGGACGTTCAGCAGTAGGCTCTCTCAGAATGGCTGCTCTCTAGTTCGCTGGCTGCGTCTCCAGTTTCTTCTTTCAATGGTGCATTTTACACCAGGACACTGAATAGCATTCCGGCAATAATGGCTGGAAAGCTAAAATATTTATAGTGAGAATAAAGTCTGCAGAGAATCTGTCTCACAAAGCCAGGGGGCATCTTTTGCAGGAATTAAGTTGCTTATTCACTGCTTATCTTATTTTTGTGGGTTTTTTTTAACAGCGTGACCGGGACACAGTGTTACTGAAGTAAGTTTACAGCTCTTTTTATGACAAAACCTCTTTAAGGACATCAAAATAAAATGTCACTGAAAGCTTGAGTATGTGGGCCTGCAGGACACAGTGTGGGAAAATAGCCTGACAATCCTTTAATTGAAATGACGCATTAATCCTAATGCCAAAGTAAGACCTCCTAAGACTGGAACTAGCTAATCTGCGTCAAACTGTGTGTGTGTGTGTGTGTATACACTCTACATTGTGTCCATTTCTAATTGAGTACATGTTCCAAGTTCACTGGAATGCATCTACTCATTTAAATTTATGAAAAAGATGACGTCTGGGACAATTCCCTAAAGAATCCATTCTACGGCCCAGACAATAGTCTGCGCCGAGCAAATTGTGTCAGCAGACAAATGGCTTTATCGTTTCCATTCACAGGAAATGAGTGCCATCAATAGGGTTACTTAGATTAGATGTTAATTGTTTTTCTCTTCATTTTGTTGCCAGATTGTCATCATCAGATTACCTTGGGTCCAATAACGTCAAAACCAAACACATGACCCGTTACATCCACCCATAACTCTACATATCCATTACAAACGTATCTTCACAGGCATCCATGACCAGCCTCCTGAAGGCTTGTTTCTGCTGTCAATTTGTATATCGCATACAGCATGACAACCTTTTTAATATGTTGCCCATGAAGTGACCAACGTAAGGAGCTCTCCATGCAAACTAAAAATAGAACATGCAATATGCTAATACAGTGGTTTGAGAGGTTTCTAGTGAGTGTTTGACATGGAAGAAAAGCAGATGTTGTGCAGAGAGTAGCTTGGATGTTATGACGATGTTACCAGCTCCATTGATAGGTACCTTTAGGGCATCAATGACCAGGTCCCGGGCCTCCAGCTCTCCTTCCAAAATGCTGAACAGCATCAGCAACTCTGGCTTGGTCAAACTCTCCATATTCAGCTTGGACTGTGAGGGCACAAGATCAAAGAGAGGAACTTGGTTGACCAATTGAATTTAGATTTTATTTCTTAAAATTGACTCAAACTGACGTGTTTGCCACTTTTTATTATTCGCATGCATGAAAATAACTACTTACCCTGTACTTAATTTATTCTATTAGATTATTATTCAACTCCAGTTGAGGGAATGCTGAGAAACTATTTACAAACCTGGAAAACTGTTTTCCAATTCCCCCAAAGCAGACCTCCAGACAGACATGTGATCTATCTGATCCAGCCCACTGATTTATGAGCTTTATGTGGATATGTGGTTATGATCCTGGGGGGGGTTTACAGCACAGAATCAGTGTACAAAACAATGTAGTAACATTTTTCTCCTTTGTGAAAAGAAACCAGACAGCTTATTATGGGTGCAGTTCAGAGGTGCAATAAACTGTTTAAGAAGTGTGCGGTATAACTCAAGCTAAATGTGAAGATGTTACATAAAAAGACAAAACTACTAGAAGATAAATAAATGAGTTACCAGGCATCTTAAACAACAGGAGCGAGATATTCCTTCAAAGTCGATCATTTTATTGTCGGATATTTCAGAGACACAAACATGGCAGCGCTACAGCTGACACAGATGGATCACACATCAAACAAGAGATAGTCAGTCGGCCTCAAGCACCCGAGCTGTTCTATCATCTGTCTTAAACACTTCCAGCTGACTAACTGATAATATGCATTCAACTTTAAGTTCAGTGTTGAAAACAATATCACTCTGTTTTGGGGTTCCCCCCCCCACCGCACGTCCATTCATTACGGGTCCTGTGACAGTTGGGTTGTTTTGTATTGGAAATGTGATGTGGTCTCTTTGTAGTGTCTCTGCACTCCAATCTCACAGCTGTGTTGGTTCTGCTGACGAGCCCCGCGGTGTCCACACCTCAAAACATCCCACCGCACTCTGGCCAGGAGAACGTATGCGGGGCCCCTCTTTGAAATGAGATCAAAGCTGTTGAAGTTTTTACACGAAGCATCCGTTCAGATCGCCATGTGGGACGTGTAGCAGGGCTCAACACCAACTTTAAAAATGTGCCTGCCGAAACTGAAAACACGGTTGCCACATTTTAGTCACCTTCCGTTTGAGTGATTTAAGATGTCATTAAGTCAGATTCATTATATCGTGTCATGTGTATGTTGTACATGCTTTGCTGTAGAAGTTTCCATCCAGCTCAGAAATGCCGGGAGACTTCACACACTTCCTTTTTGTTCTTTGTTTGGATTCATCTTGTTCTTCGCCACCGCTTGTGATTTTCGCGGGATTAGTCAAGCTTTTCCCCCCGCAGTCAAATAACTTTCTTTGCTTCGCCGCCACTATCTCTAAAACACATGCCTGTGCGCACACAAACGCACACGCAGCGTTGACTGGTACCGGGTTCTGATTGTAAGAACAATGCAAGAAATATTTTAAAAAATCACATTCATTTTGGGGTGCATGTTTTGCTGTCTGGTACAGGATGGATCCACGCTGCACTAGCTGACTACATAACAACAGAAGCAGCCTATAGTCTAGCTTTAGTCACACAAAAACATCCTTCTGAAATGTGGCTTAAGCATCTGAAAACTCACTGCTGTTTATTACGCTGATCCACACCTGAGCTGGTATTCATTCAAGAGGCCCGTGCTCTGCTCTGAGCACTCTGTGGTCTCCACAACTTTCCACATCATGAAGTCATCCAGAGAGGGGGGGGCCCATCTCTTGGAGTGCTGGTTGCATAATGACAGAGCGGAGCCACCGGCCTTTCATATCGGAGCTGGCAGCTACAATATTTCCCAGGCATCTTCGACAGCATCAGCAATACAGAAGGATCAACGAGCCTTTATTCCAGCACTTGGTTGTACCGTGACACTTCTGCAGAGCAGTATGCAGGAATGAAAAGAGGAAGGAGCCACAATCCCGATGAACTGCACCTAGAGTGCAGCCTAATCCCTACAGCAGCGTCCTCTCAACAAAGAAGGCACACAGTGTTTAAATTGTGCCTTCACCAGCACTCATGGTCTGTGGCTTAACCACAGGGGTAAAATGCTAATTAAACTACAGCACACACACACACACATCCCTTGGTTTTGCTTTTACAGGCCTGCTCGCTAATTTCACAGGGGCGCTGTAATCACTGTGCGAAGAGAGAGTGCGCTGTGGCATGAGAAACGTCTGGCCCGGAGGGAGCCAACATGTGTCATCACGCTTGTTTAGATCCTCATTATTTTATTATTATTTCACCTAATCCCCCCCCCCCCTCCCCCCAGTTAGAGTTGGTAATCATGAGGGTACACAAACACTGAGCGGCATCATGGGAAAAAGAAATATTCCCACACGGTAGCTCCACTTCCGATGACGAAAAAAGGCCTGTGTGCCCCATAATCCTTTTTTATCCCTGTTTGTTTTAAGCCTGGCCGGCCATGTGCCTCGTCTGCAACACTGTAAACTCATTAAAAACACATCGCAGCCTCTACTGCAAAAAAACATATGCTCTGCTCCCAATACAATGGGGCCCTCGGTTTGTGAGTAGCTGCTGGAGACGGTACACAGTACAAGTGGAAAATGAACCTACTTCACTCAAAGCATATCAAAGTCCATTAAAACACACTTTTCTTAGTCTGGGGACAGTTTCTAAATCAAATGCCCCATGTTGAATCAAAAGTTGTACTAACAATGTGTACAATAATTCAGATTAATCTTACATATGCACAGTCGACATGTAACACTTTGTCTCATCATCTGTACTGGGAAGGGAGGGAGGGGAAGCACAACGTGAGCGTGAGTATATGTCACAGACTGTGAAATCTCTCTGGCCCACAAAATGAGGGTCAACTGAGGGGAAGTACACAGCCTGAGGTCTGCTCAGTTTCCGTGTTCTGGTCATCACGACGGCGGACCAGATGCAGTATGGCCGGATACTAAATTGGATTTGTGAGCCAACCTAATTTTCTCAGTAGGCCACTTACTTACTCACTCACTCACTCACTCGGCTTGCTGCTCCCTGGCCTTTGATGCAGCCTAGTTTCAAAAAAAAAATAAAAAAAATATTAAAAACGAATAAATTAAACTCGAGTGTTGACACTGCTGAGTAAATAAACGTTTTTTTAACATGTGGAGCCACTGTGACGTTAAATGAATTCAATCAGCGCTCTCGTGAGGATCAAATAGCCATCACCAGCAGTCTGGAGGAAGCAGAGGACATGTCACTGTCGGAGCTATCGATGTTTGTTTGTTAAGGATACATCTTTAGTGTATTTTACACGAACAAAGCACACCATTCAGTCTTGAGGAGATGCAGTGCAAACGGTTCGGCATGTAGCTTTGACCACTTTTGCAAATAGTTAGCTTACAGCTCTTTTTTTCTTCTTCTTTTCTTTTGGACCAAAAGTGGCTAAACACGGTGAAACCCGGCAGTTTATCGTCTCCGACCTCCCGCCTTCGACACAAACACGTTTTCTGCGGCTCTTCTTACCTTCATAAGGCCTTCGGAGGTCTTTGAAAACTCCAGCATGAACTTTTCTCCTGTCAGGAGATTTGTTTCACTTGATTTGCGTCTTCTGATCCCAACGCAGCGGAGCAGTCAGTGGCCAAGCGCTGTTCTCAACTGACAGCGCAGCTAGCCAATGGACGAGGCAGAACGCTGTGCGCAGACCAATGAAAGAAGAGCTTCTGGGAAAAGGGGCAGGGCCACTGGCGTCCCACCTCCTGGATTTTGGTTGGATTTCTTTGTTTAGCATTTCTTGAGTGCCTGCCTCTTTTTTAAGGAATTTCTTATGGGCAGATTAAGGGTTTTAGCATGCTATTTTACTGACTTTACAAGTATTTTGCTGAACGAAATGTTAAAACATGACATTTGGTTTGTTTGTGGTCCTAAATAGTCACTTTATAGTGACTTTATAGCACATTTATTCCATAGTGAACTGGTCTCATTATCTCTTATGACAATATTCCTTTGTAATATTTCTATAAAATCGCAATTGTTGACAATTACATTAATATGGTTGAGGTTTATACTGTAACGTTTGTAGTTTATAGGACGCAGGGGTGGAAGACCACAATAAATAGCCCACTCACTTTCTTTTTACTTCAGTAAAAGTAGTAATACAACAATGGAAAAACACCTATTAGTAGTAAAATATACTTGTATTAGTGTTATAAGTATTATTTGACATAATAACATAATCATTTCACATTTTTGAATGAATTACGTTGTTGGAATCATGTTATTAATGCATTAATGTGTAAGCAGCAATTTAATATTGTTCACTAGTCACTTTTAACTACCACACACACACACACACACATATATTAGATAATGACTGTAACATATCTGAAAGTACAAGTTCTTCAAAATCGTCCATAAGTATACATGAGTACTTGAGTAAAAGTACTTTGTTTCTTTCCACCACAGATAGGCTGAACATTTGATTTGATTCTGTTCTAAAACTGCATGCATTCAACACTGTCCAAACATTCACAAACAATCAAATGTATTCAGTGCAATATAAGACATAACCATGCACAGACAAAGAATAAAAATGAAAACTCCATAAGTAACTTTTATCTCACAAAGACAATATGCATTTAATGTTATATCTGTTGGCCACTTATATGAATTATTCCAACATGATTAATTATTCCAGCAAAAGCATCCCTTGCATTGATTGATGGATTTGTGGGATTACAGTATTATTCACTGCCATCTGGTGGCATAGTCACTGTAAGTGCCAGAGTAGCCTAGTGTGCAGAGCTGTGAGACAGCTGTGTTGTTGTCGGAGAAATGTGGATTTCTGAGTTCACCTGGGAAATCAAAAGGTTTACAGACTGTTGATGGAGCTATTATAACAGCCAGCTTCAAACTGAAAGCACTGAAAGCCTTCAGAACTCGGAACAATTGGAGGCATTATAGTTTTATACCCTGTGTTTCTAAAATCACAGGAACAGTCTTCTCGCAACCTCTGTCTCTTATTAGCAGCACTCAGGAACAACACACACGTTGACTGTGGAGGTCTAACTCTATAGCTGGGGATACAGCTGTGTTGTTGTTGTTTTGATCAGCCATGAGGCACAGAGCTCCAGATCCCATGTGACAAAAATCAAATGAGGTAATCAGTGTGTTGTAGACCTGAAAATGCAAGGTCTGTAATACAGGAGAGCTGCCAGTAGAGTGCAATGCTCACACAACTCAGGTAACAGTTACAGTAACCACACTTTTCACCATGGCTGAGCAAAATGGACAGACCAGCACTTTTACCGGTTGCATGTAAGCTTATTCTACTAATGCATTCATAAGTCACATCAGCCAAATATACACACACTTTAAAAATGTAATGCAAACCTGCTGTTGAAAGAGGGTAAAAAAAAAATAAGTGCACTCAGCTGTGTTCGACAGCAATTTTGCTTAATGTTACAAGACACACCACCTTGTGTCAGCGCTAAATTGGCACCGTTTGCACAACAGAGAGCCTCCTATCTATGGCTATGCAGCATATTTGTGCTATTTGATAACCGTGTCCCTTTTTAATGCTATCTTGAGGGTATACAGAGAGGAAAGTCACATAATTGTTGCTCCTGATAGACTGCTAGTGCAGGGAGAATTTTCAGCCCTAATAAAGAGTCTCTATTTCAGGCTTTTCAATTAAGCTGCTCTGTTCAGCCTGCTGACTGCATGGCTGCTGTGGAGATTTCTGTCCTCAGTCTCTGTCGTGTGTCCTCGTCTCCTTTTGCCACACAATGTACAGAGTGAAATTTTCCATTTACTTTGGTTTAGTCCTGAAAAAAAAGTGGGTACAGAGGTCAATGCTTTAAGAAAGATTTTTCAGTTTTGTCCTGTGAAACCAGAACATTTTTAGAATATCAAATAATGGTGTAGTTTGATAAATGCAGTGGTGAAATGTTACCATTTACTCAACTGTTTAGTACACATTTGAGTATACTTGTCCTGTATTGAGTATTTCTATTTCATCCCAATTTATACTTCTCATTCTTATAAATAAAGGTGCTTACTAAAACCAAATAGGGTTCTTTGGCTTGTCCTCACAAGAGAGCCGGAGTGTTAAACCTAGAACCATCTGCGAAAAGGTTTTGGGCTGAAATGCTCCTCTCAGGGAATGGTTTATGTGGTCCAGCGCAACCCTCAACACTCATGGTTCCCAATCACGTTTTTTGGGGTGGAGACATTTATTTGATTCAAGATTTAGCATACAAAACGAATATCAGTTTGTAAAATATGATGCACTTCAAATTAAAGTACCCAACAGTATATAAAATAATGAAAACTGGCTCAACCTTGACCAAATACAACCAGAAAATACTATAGTATGAATACATCAGTAATAATAATAATAATAGTCTATTCATTTCTGTTATTTTGATACATTGGGTACATTTAGCTAATAATACTTTCGTAGTTTTATTTGGTGATATTTTCAATGCAGGACCTTCACTTGCAATGCAGCATTTTGATATTGCACCATTGCTTGATTGGTGGATACTGAATACTTTCTCCACCACTGTTTTGTATATTTCTCACAATTCATTGCCATTGCTAATATTTAAAACAAAATCATTTAATGCTGAACTCCTGCAGTCCTACAAATCATATTCAAAAGAAAGACCAAACTTTAGTTGTGTCAGCAGAACTTCTTCTTGTTCTTTTGTACTTTTTCACACCAATCTTCCCCCACACTCTTTTTCTCATCTCTGCTGACATAATCGCTGACTGGGTTGCTTTTATCAAGTTCATAGCTCATTTTTCCTTTCAGTGGATTCCTAAATCCAAGTCTAAACGGAAAAATCACATATAGCTCAGCACGGACGTAGCATCATGAAAAAAAGGATACTTTGACTTTCAAAATACCTGCTTGAATGATGAAGAATATTTCCCCGAAAGGTCATGGTAAGCTCAGATGTGGTCTCTTCAGCTGTGTGAAAACTGTTCAAGGTTCCTCAAAAGAAAATGTTTCAAAAGTTCCTTTTTAAAAGCTGCAAAAGCCAGAGTTAACCATCAACACCTGGGGCCCCAATCAAGCTTTGAATGCATATACTACACAATTTCAATCTCTCCTACTTTTTGCCGTATCATTCCCTGCTTAAGTGAAAGTATTCTGGCATTCAGAAGGGATATTTCATCTGCGTTTCACACCTGGCGCTCCGTCATAGATGCCAGACATGATGTGGAGATGACACACCATGGTGGCACAGGCACGATCCGAGGAGGGATGGAGAAAGGGAGTGGTAAATATAGCATCAGAGTCTTGGCAAGAGCCGACGACAATCTAGGACCTAATCTGAGGCAGTGATCAGCATCTGTTGCCTGGCACCCAGTTCTGTGGGGGTTTTAGTTATTCATCTATTGCTCCATATCTGTCACTTTTTTTTTGCATCTGATTCCCAGCACAGTGGATGCATACAATAGTGTGGGAGGATGTAACCTCTCAATACCCCCCAGTGAGTCCGTCTGTCAGTAAGACACTGTGCTCACCTGATTGCATGTGGAGCTGTGAAAGAGGTTAAGGTTGGGAAAGTGATTTGTTTTGCCGGTGGCCATGTTAAATGTAAATTGCCTGAGTGCTTGACCTTGAAGCAGTTCACATTAGTAATTTGCATATCACCAGAATGGTAATGTGTCTTTGACATCACTGTTACCAATATATTTGTTTTATAATCATGTGGCAGCAGGTGATGTGGAATTTAATATCCAACAATGACTTTGTCATTCATGTATTCACTGCTTACTTACAATGCTTTAATGAAAGGCCTTGATTGGACCCTAAAAACGGTGCAAAACTAAAGAAGAAGTCTCTGTTATCTCAGTTATTCAAATGCTTTTGACTTCAATCACCAAAAGAGGAACAAGATCTCTGGAAGGATAAACCTAAAAAGACATAGCAATTATGGTTAAGAAGATGAGTAGACTCCTGGCTTAGAGGTATAGCCCACTTACGTATGAGCTGACAAAAATGGAGCCTACTACAAATCCCTGGCTCACAAGACAACAGAGGCGAATGGAAGTCTAGAGTTTTGGATGTAATTAATCGGCACCCTGGGTGACATTTGAATCAACTTTTTTGACAAAGGTCTATCTTCCGAACTAGACAAACCAAACCCATACCCGTGGATGTCCACCACACTCTTTCTTTTCAAGGCTTAAGTTATAATCCAAGAATGCGTTGATCATCATGGCTCTTGGAGAGTTTCATGACCGTGTCTGAGCTGATTACACCTCAGCTCATTTTCCTGAAGGTGAGTTGTTTTTGTAAACTATGCAGGGAGAAATACATCGGCTGAGTTTGACGGCTTTGAGGTACAGTTTGATTTAATATGTAATTTACAACGGGGGACCGATTGCAATCTTAAACTTAAATACTCCTCAACCTGAGTCGCATCAAAACCTTGAAATGTGACTTATTGAGTCCTTTATGATGTCGACTAAGAAATGAAAAGGATCATTGCTTTGCCTCATAAAAACAACGGAGCTAAAACAACTTTGCTGGACTCAATACTTCACTTCGATACTTGACCCAATCTCCCCGACTCAGAGA